GAATACTGAGTAACAGTGAGAAAAAGCAAACTCTATACAAATAATGTACCTGTAATTCAATCGAATGCCTTGCAAGTTGATGTTTTCTAAGGGGAAATATCTACAGTGTCATTTTAAGCCTGAATCACAAGCCTCCACTTTGTCATTAAAATATGGTCATAAACAGCAGTGTCAGCAGTGAAGTAACAGGAGGCAGGAGTGCTACAAATGCAAATAGTCAGTGAGAGATTGTGGAGCACAGCCAGGCAACCACTGGAGCGTAACACACTCCTCCCTACAAACAACCGGCGAAACAAAGTGAGATGAGGGAAGCCATGACAATGCCAGATCCCCTTTGCAGCAGGCAGAAATCATTACATCTATTAGTAGCCTGCATGTTGAGCACAAAGTGATGATGAATCCAGAAATGTAGCAGTAATTGGTAAATCTGCCCTTCATTTGCTTCACAAAATCATATAGAAATTGCTATTTAACCCTGTGCTGGCCTGACAGAGAACATTATGTGAGAAAAGAAAAAAGATATCTTACCTTAGCCGGAGTACCATGTTCACAGCACCTTGAATGTAGGGTGTACCCTTGTAAGGTTCAACCTGTAGGACAAAAAAAAAATCTGATGTTGAGACAGGGTACACTAAAAGAATTATAGATCAGACAGGCAAAGAATGTTCATTTTGTAAAAGAGGAGGATGTTTTTGCAGTATGTGCAAGAGGGTCTGGTACAGGTAATATAAACATATAATTAAATTAAATAAACCACAAGTGTATGGCCATATACTCAGCACATGTGATTTATGTTTTCTGAAAGTCTTGTGTTTATTGCAACTGAAGGGAAACGATAAGAAAAATTACACTGAGGTGTTGTGTTTAAGGATCTATTAATGTTATCAGTACCATATTACAAATGGACTCTGTACAGCAATAAATGGATGTTAATGGGTAAGAAACGACTGGTGGATAGTTGTCAGAGCTAATTCCTCACGGAAGCATAAGACTATGCCTCAAAATGCTTTGGCTCATTTTCAAAATGACAACAGCCGTAGAAAATGGGTTACAATGGCAGAGAGTCTTTAGATGAGATATGCCCAGGCACTGAGCTGGCACTGTCAGGCAGACAGCCATTTACTCTGGGTTATTACTGGTGAGAGCATCCCTCCAGGAGACTGACATTCACAATTGTGCACACCCTTACACACACACACACACACTGGTCTACTAACGCGTGTGCACAGACAGACAGACAGACACACACTGGCAATCAGTGTGGCATCAAGGTCATTGAATCATGACAAATTAGTACCGGTGCTGAATCCCTCACCTGGGGATGCTGAATAGATAACCCTTCAATAGGGACATGGTTGGCATTCTCCTCATTCTAGGAGGGACAAAATGAGGGCATAATTGAGCAAATGCTATTACATCCTTTGCAAATAGCAAATCAGAGCTCATGTTATAAGAGACAACACAGGAAACTCGATTCGAAACAGTCAAGGAGGAGCAGTCTGCTGGCTGCATTAGACAGTTTAAAACAGGTGTTGGCTGTTTTGATTAAGCTGCAAGAAAATGTGTTGGGGTGAAATAAACATTCGTAATCGAGTTTATGATTCTTACACAAGCCTCAGCTAAAGCAATCACATTTCCAAAAATGCCCCACTGCCAATTCTCATAGTGTACAGCGGCAGAAAGGATAAAGCCTGTGTGACTATGACAACTTGTCTCTTAACCAAAACACAAAAAGATTTGTATCATTTTAATTGCATGTTAAAATTATATTATGACAGGAAGAGCTAACTTACATCTTTGGCCTCATCTTTGATCCTTCGTGTCTGCAGGGAAAAAAAAAAATCAAACACACATTTACATTTTCATAGATATGCTGCAATAATCATCATTTATTTCATTTTATCCTTCATGCAGTTTTCATATACTGTCTGTCCAAACCTAGTTTTTACTTGCTGAAAGGAAAGTGAAAACACATATTGGTAAAAATACTACTGCCAACAACTTAAAGCATTACTTTTCATAACATTTTATTCGTGGCATCATGCATTAAAGTGGGGGTATCTTGATCAAAGGGCCCTTTGATCATAGCTATCTGCTGCCTCCTGCCACAAATACTTGCAGCCATCTTCCAGCTCATTACAGAGACCTCATGACAGGCTCTCTCAGAGATAAGCCATCTAAAAAAACACCATCAGGGATGGAAGAAATGTACAGGGTCAACGACAGAGAGGAAGCTACATAACGGTCTGGTTTACTCAGTAAGTTAGACATGACATGCAACAATAATTATTAACACCTTAGTAACTGTACATTCAAAAATTTCCTGCTCAACTTGTTTTATTACAGTGAAAATAAAAGCCTACTCAAAAGCATCATCTTAAACCTGTTACTGATGTACTTATATACTTTATAGACTAAATATGAAAGAAGAAATGCTGCTGATGCTGGCCTTAGTGGTGTCTCGGCCTACCCTGCCCTGATTCACTGCTGCCTTCCCCTCCTCACTGCCCTCGTCCAGCTCATCATCGCTCCACTCCCAGTCTCCATCCTCTGTCTTGTGCAGATGGCCACTGGAGCCTGGGACTCTCCTTACCTGCATCATGACAAGGCAGGACACTAAAGGTTACTTTTTTTTTTTTTTCCTTAAATTGTACATGTATAGTATGTATATTGTGCTTTGCCCATGAGTCCATTAGGGTTTTATAATCCTTTAGATCAGAGCACTAGTTCTCAAAGTGGATAGAGTACTAGACCTCTTGTGCACATATGTGACATGAAACGCACATGTACAAAGCTACATTTAAGTTATTTAGCTTCTTGGACACAGCTAGTATGCTTGTGTATTGCTGCCACCATGCCAAAAAAAAAAATGTGCTCAGTTTTAATATTCAACTTGCAAGATATTTTTTACTAACAATATCTTAGTTATCTTTATGGAAATGAATAAAGGAAATGTTTCTAGTACACATTGGATAATTTGGTGTGCAGTAAAAAGAAGAAAATACATCATAGTACAGGAAAGAGTACTTTTTCCCTGCAGACTAGAGGTGTGATGAGATCTCACAATATTAAAACGTGACGATATTTATCGTCGAGTTGAAAAGCCATATCGCGATATCAGTACATAACAGATCCGGAGCAGTCGACAGGACCAGCATAGTTGAGTGTGAGGGTGAAATTAGCATAGATGATGCCCCTGCCTCTTTCGAATCATTTGTGTGGCAGCATTTTGGGTACCCGGTGGAAACGATAAATGGTGACAAAGTGACACGAGCAACATGTACACCAAGCACTGCAAGAAAATAGTGCCGTACACCATGGCTAACACAAGCACTATGCCCAGATACCCAGAGAAGCACAACAGCTTTCTATAAAAATCAACCACACCTGTGGTGAAAATGCTGAAAGGCCAGATAATGCTGACAAATACCTTTGCATCTCACCTCCCTGCATATGACACTTGATACTGATGCCCCTCTGAAAAAAGAAGGCAGTGAAACCGAGGAGAGTAGTCCTGTGGTACAGCTCGCAGCTCCGCTCCCTAAAGCAGGCATCATGAAAACTGAAAAGGAAGTGGAACTCCACTAAGTCAGAAGAGTTTTTCCTAGCCTGGAGAGAGTTTAATAACATATAAAAAGCCCTTCATTGTGCCAGAACTGCATATTATGCATCATTGATAGAGGCAAATAAGAGCAACCCCCGCTTTATACATGCTTCCTTTAGGCAATATTATCAAGAAACAGCATAAATTTCCATTCCTATGGAGATCATACTCGGTTATATTTATCTGTGAACCCAGATGAATCAGATCAGTTGGTCAAGCATAGTTACTCTAGATTACATAGCTCTGGTCTCCAGTACTGCTGTGAGGAACCTTGGAGTCATCTTTGATCAGAATATGTCCTTTAAATCACACATAAACCAAGTCTCTAGATCTGCCTTCTTTCACCTGCGCAATATTGCAAAAATCAGGAGCATCCTGTCTCAAAGTGATGCTGAAAAACTGGTCCATGCATTTGTTACTTCCAGGCTGGACTACTGTAACTCTTTACTATAAGTATATCTCCACTGGCTCCCTGTAAAATCCAGAATAGATTTTAAAATCCTTCTCCTAACATACAAAGCCCTTAATGACAAGGCTCCATTGTATCATAAAGACCTCAGTGCCTTGTCATCCCAACAGAGCACATTGTTCTGAGTGCAGGTTTACTGTGGATTCTAGGAACCACAAGAAGTAGAAGGGGAGGCAGAGCCTTTAGCTATCAAGCTCCTCTCCTATGGAACCAACTCCCAGTCTCAGTTCGGGAGGCGGACACCCTCTCTACCTTTAAGATTAGACTTAAGACGTTCCTTTTTGATAAAGCTTATAGTTAGGGCTGGATCAGGTGACCCTGAGCCTTCCCTTAGTTATGCTGCTATAACAAGAGCAAGAAAAATTTGGTTATGGTTGCACTTATTGTTTGCACAGAAAAAATAAGACTAAGAAAAACTTAGTGTTGTTTATTTTTGTTATTTATACAGTTTTTATTTTTATGTTCAATTTGTGGAAAGGAGTTCAGTTAGAATATCACACAGCTTCAATTATAAGTCAGAAGTCCATGTATTGTTCATGCACAGTTCTAAGGTCTGAAGAGACTCATGTGAAATCATGCAGGAGAGAAGCCAGTCAGTTGAGTTTGTGGCAAAGCCTTTTGCAGTGCTTGCATTTTGTTTTCTCTTACTGCATATAAATATTCAAAGTAGACATTCACTACTAGATGATTAGTTATAATAGAAAACATTTCAAAATGCACCTGCATTGTTTTGCGTTTTGTGACTTTCAGTTGAATCGAAGTCTATTTTTCCAGTCATACATTTTGTCATTTAAGATTTCTTAAAAATAGTGTTAAAATATCGCCTTGTCTCATTTTCCTGAATCTGATATCGTCTTGTCTGGTGAGCTAAGTGTATCATCACTCCCCTACTGCAGACTATTCATAATAAGCTATTGTTAAGGTGATGATGCTGGTGCGGGGTCTTGTTTAAGAATAAATTACTGCTTAAAACATCTTTTAAGGCAGAGAGGGGAGATATCCAATATGATTTAATCTTAGTTAAACACTAGTAGCAATAGAACTGCAAATGTAGCCAGCACAACAAAGTAGATAAGCCTGTAATTACGTGCAGTTCTACAGTCTGGA